CCTTGGTGTTATCAGGACCACTCTCTCTCAAGTGAGCCCCGGGCCGGCCCATGTTTTTTTTTTTTTTTTAAAGATGACTGGTAAGGGGATCTTAACCCTTGACTTGGTGTTGTCAGCACCACGCTCAGCCAGTGAGCTAACCGGCCATCCCTATGTAGGGATCCGAACCCGGGGCCTCGGTGTTATCAGCACCACATTCTCCCAAGTGAGCCATGGGCCGGCCCGAAAACTGTAAAATGTTAATGAAAATAATCAACAAATAAGTGGATATATAAAAATAAGTGGATTGAAGACTTAAGATGTCAATTCTCTCCAAAGTAATCAATGCAATCTTAATCAAAATCCTAGGTGGCTTTTTTTTGTGGGGGGAGGGATAGAGATCAACAAGCTGATTCCAAAATTAATATGGAAATGCAAAGGAACTAGGATAGCCAAGACAATTTTGAAAAGGAAGAACAAAGATCTGGAAATCATACTATCTGATTTCAAGATTTCTATAAAGCTTCAGTAATCAATATAGCGTGGTTATTAGTGAAAGACAATACACAGATCAATGGCTTTGAACAGAGAATACAGAACTAGATCCACACATATGTGGCCAGTTGATTTTCAACAAAGATGCAATTCAATGGAGAAGGGATAGTCTCTTTAACAGATTACATGAGAAAAACTGGACATCGGTAAGCACGGAAAAAAATCTTGACCTATATATCACACCTTACATGAAAAACTAACTTGGGGTCAGACCTATGGTTAGCTCAGTTGGTTAGAGTGCAGTGTCATAACACGAAGGCCAAGGGTTTGGATCCTTATACTAGCTGTCAAAAGCCAAACGAAAAGACTAACCTGAGATGGATATAAATTTAAACTTCTACAACTTTTATTTATTTATTATTTTTTTAAAAAGATGACCAGTAAGAGGATCTTAACCCTTGACTTGGTGTTGTCAGCACCATGCTCTCCCAAGTGAGCTAACTGGCCATCCCTATATAGGGATCCCAACCCACGGCCCTGGTGTTATCAGCATCACACTCTCCCAAGTGAGCCATGGACCAGCCCAAACTTACACAACTTTTAGAAGAAAACATAGGAGAAAATCTCTGTGATCTCCAGTTAGGGAACAATTACTTAGGAAACAAAAAGCACAAACAATAAAAGAAAAAAAATTGATAAAATGGATTTCATTGAAATTAAAAATATCTCTCTAAAAGACATTGTTAAGAAAATAAAAAGTCAAGTCACAGACTGAAAGAAAATAATTGCAAAACATCTGATAAAGGACTGCTATGCAGGATACATAATGAACTCTCACAACTCATGAAGAAAACAAATAACCTGATTAAAAAAAATAGATAAACGATGTGAACAGACATGACACTAGAGAAGACACATAGACAGAATTAATGAACACATGAAAAGATGATCAACACCAACAGTCATTAGGAAAATGCAAATAAAACCACAATGACATATCCCTACCATACATTATTAGAATGGCAAACAAACAAAAACTGACAATGCCAAGTGCTGACAGGAACGTGGAGCAACTGAGACTTGTGCTGGTGGGAATGCAGGACAGTACCGCCACTCTGCAAAACAGCTTGGCAGTTTCTAACAAAGTTAATCATGTGTTCATCATACAATCCATGAATTTCACCCCTAGGTTTTTATACAAGTGAAGACATACGTCTACATTAAAACCTGCACACAAATGTTTAGAACAGCTTTGTTCATAAAAGCTAAAAACTGGAAATAACCCAAATATACTTCAATGGGTGAGCATATAAACTGCAGCACGTCCACACAGCAGAATACCATCCACGACGAAAAGGAACGGGCGGATGACCCCAGCAACTCAGATGAATCTCAGAAGCTGCTAATAGTGGAAGAAGCCAGCCTCAAAAGGCAGCATACACTATTCTAAGATATTTCAAAAAGCTCATGGAAAAATAGAATTAAAAGATAATACAAATCTTTTCATGAACTTTTTGAAGTATCCTTGTATGTACTATACAACCCTATAGGGTTGACCACAGTTAATTTATCTGTTCACCAGATGGTGGACCTTTGTGCTGTTTCCAACCTTTCGGTTCCTACAAATGAAGCAGCTATGTGCATGCGAGGGTTTGTAGGAGCACACGCCTTCACTCCTCCTGGGTAAAATAGTAGGAGTCGCATGATAAATGTATTTATATGACATTTGGGAAAACCAAAATTCTAGGATGGTTAAGCGGAGATGTCAAATAGCAGGTGAATGTACGAGTCTGAAATCAGAAATGTACAAAACAATTTTTTAAAAAAGACAATACAAAAGAAAAACTGGCAAAAGACTTGAACATGTACTTCATCAAAGAGGATCTCCAAATGGCAAATAAACACATAAAAAAGTGCTCGACTCGTTCGTCAGGAGGAGAATGCAAACTAAACATAACGCCTGTGGGCCGGTTAGCTCAGTTGGTTTAGAACGTGGTGCTATAACACCATGGCCGAGGGTTTGGACCCCTGCACAGGCCAGCCAGAAGAAAAAAAAAAAGAAAATTATAAGGAGACTTTTAGGGGGATGGAAATAACGTCAATAAAAACAAGTGAATATGTGGACAGCTAGTAACCGATGCATGGCTTGACCATGGTGGTGGTCATGGGGTGTATAAATTTGTCAAAACTCACCCTTAAATGGGTGCATTTTATTATAAATTACACCTTGATGAAGTAGATTTAAAAATAAAGGGAATGAACCGGCCCGTGGCGCACTCGGGAGAGTGCGGCGCTGGGAGCGCAGTGACGCTCCCACTGCGAGTTTGGATCCTATATAGGACTGGCCGGTGCGCTCACTGGCTGAGCGCGGTGCGGGCGACACCACACCAAGGGTTGCAATCCCCTTACCGGTCACGAAAAAGACAAAAAAAATAAAAATAAAAAATAAAGGGAAAAAAGCATAAAGATATACCACTGCTCACCCTAGAGAACGGGTAAAACGAAACAGACTGACAACAGCAAGCGCTGGAGAGGAGACAGAGCAGCAAGCGCTGTCACACTGCGGGCTGAGTGCAAGCTGGAACAGCTGCCTGGGGAAATCGGCAGTGACTCGCCACCGCTGAGCCTAAGCCTACGTGGGGATCCAGCAAGCCCACGGCTCGGTGTATACCCATCTGTGTGCACAGAAGACATGCACAACAGCGATCCCAGCAGCAGCATTTGCAACAGTTCCAACCCAGACAGCCAACTGTCCATCAGCACCAGAATGGAGCAATAAACAGTGGCAAAGTCATCTACTGGAATACCACACAGCAACGTGAATGAACTAGCCGTGGCCACTTGCAGCGGGATGAATCTCACCAACACCATGCTGAGCAAAAGAAACCAGACGGAAAGCACATACTGGAAAAATCCATTTACGTGAGGTTTAAAACCGGGCAGAATGACTAGGGTGACAGACATCAGGGTGGTGGGTCCCTTGGTGGGGAGCATGACTGTGAGGGGGCTCCAGGGGCTCCTGGGAGTGTTCTGTTTCTTGATCTGGAGGGTGTTACACAGGTTTGTTTACTTTAGGTAAATCTGTTGTGTTATATACGCTGAGGATTTGTGCACTTTCGTGCACAATTATTATGTATATTACAATTCAATAAAACATTTACTTAAAAAACAAGAGGTCTATATACTGGTCAGCTGCCCCAAAAACCCAAAAAACTAAAAAAACAACCATCCAAACAAACCAAAAAAAGAGGTCTAGACAAGTGACATAAAAATTATGAACTCATGAGCACAAAGATGGGGACATCTGGCAATTCCAAGCCATGAGAAGGAAGAGCTTGTAGACACTAGTACAGGAGGGAGAGGAGGAGAGGCCAGGAAGAGGAGGGCCAGAAAGGGAGATGGGGAGAGAAGCCCATGGAGAGTGAGGGGAGTCCCCAGGAAAGCTTGGCCAGGCTGAGATGGGGAGAGAGGACAGAGATCTGTCCACTGGTGTGGCAAAGCAGAAGACGCTGGAGCTTGGAGCAGTGTGGGAGCAGAGTGCAGGGTGAGGTGGCTGCAGAGGGGTCAGGGGTGGGGAGGGGCACCAAAAAGGAGCAGAAGTGTGGGGACGGAGGGTCTAAGAACCAGCTACGCCAGCAGGACAGGATGTGTGTTTCTGGAGATGAAAGTTGCTGGAGTGAGTCCACGTGCCCAGAGAAAAGCAAGGAAAGGTCACTGAAAGGGCCATTGTCTCAGGGAGGGCTCTGATGTGACTACAGCAGGAGAGGAAGGGGCAGGGGAATGGAGGTCAGGGTGGAAGACGTGGTGCTGAGCGAATGGATAAGTCAGAAGCACCCCAGGGCCTGCGCCCATCCACACCTGCTCCAGCTCTGAGAGCAGGATGAGGACAGCACCGACTTCATGGGGTCCTGAGGACAGGAGGACAGGCACAGGCTGGGTGTGCAGCACTGGGCAAGCCCACGACGAACAGCTGCTCCAGCTGCAGCAGCTGCCACCACCTGGTGCGGAATCTGCAGACAGGCCTCCCGAACTCGCCAGGGCTGCTCCAGGCCAGCAGTTCAGGCACCCCACCCCCAGGCCCTCAGCACCCCTTCCCAGCCAGCCTGCGGCCTCCAATAGTCAGGGGCCCCTGGTCACCAGGGCCCAGCTCCCCCTGCCCCTGGAGCAGGCGATGCCACCACTACCTGCTTGGAGTAGATCTTGAGCAGCCTGTTGATGGGTGTGCCCTCGCTGTCCCCATCAAACTCCAGCCACAGGACGGGCTCCTCCTCCTCAGGGGAGGTGTGGTCCCACGACAGCTCCTGGAAGCGCAGGCCCAGCAGGACATGCTGGCCAGCAGGAGATGCAGAGCATGGCTTGGCCCCTTGGGCAGAGGCCTGCTCCTCACCCCCTCCCACTTGGCGCCACCAGCAGGGGACACTTGGCCAGGGTGTTTGCCTCTCTGAGAATAAGTATAAATTTGTTCGTGTGTTTCTCTACGGAGAGGAGCCCCAGCTTTCATCAGACTTTCCCAGGGCTGTGTTTCAGAGAGGCTGAAACCCTCATCCCACAACACCTGACCACTGGAGAGTCACGTGGGGAGGAATGTGGGGGGACCTGTGCCATGACAGAAGCTGGGTAGCATCTCAGCAGGAGGCCAAACTGGGCCCAGAGTGCCTGGGCACTGTTGCCCAGGAGGGGCTGGATTCAGCCAAGCTCTTCTGCTATTAGGAGAGAGCTCTTTTTTGCTGAATCCAAGGGATAAACTAACAAATTGGGGGGAAAAAAAGGAGAGGCCTCCTGCCCAGACACAGAGAAGCGGCCCCACTGCCAACACTGCCTTCCAGACAAGCAGCTGAGATAGCCAACTGCCCAATGCAGGAGCAGCAGGACTCAGTCAGCCCAGGAGCGCTCCCAGTCGTGGGGTCTTTCTGGAAAACCATGAGCTGTTCTCCAGCCATCAGCCAGGCGCTGCCAGACTCCCCCCACACGGAGGCGGAAATCTCAGCTGCAGCCTCCCCCTGCTCCAGCCACCCCCGCCTAGCACGCTGGGTGTAAAAGCTGACCCAAAGCAGACCTAGGGAAGCCCTCAGGATGAGAAGGAACCCTGAGGACATCAAGGGAGGCAGAGTCCCAACCAGACAGTCCTCCCACCCTGCCCCCAGGCCACCCACAGGCCCACGGGAACCAGGAAGGCCTGGGCAAGGACGCCTACTCCCCTCCTCTCCACAGAGGACCTCCCCGGTCCCACCCTGGAGGAGCCAGAGGCGGTACCTTCTCCCTGCTGTCAATGACATGCACGCCCTCCAGACTGATGGCCACGACCACTGGCTTGCGCCCGCCCCGGTGCAAAAAGCCCTGGGTGGGCTTGTCGACCTCGCCGTGGAAGAAGGCACACCTGGGGAGGGGACAGGTGTCAGTCTCTGCTCTTCAGCCCCGAGAATGCTTGAGGGCCTGCCCTGGGTCCTGTCCTGGCCCTGAGAAGCTTAGGCTGTTCGGGTGACTGAAGGTTAAAAAGAAACCGCCCCACGGAGGGGGAAACTGAGGGACGGTGGCATCTGGGCTGGTTGCGCAGGATGGGAGGCTGAATAGGAGGGAGAAGGACCTGGACAGCACAGAGAAGGGCGGGCACCGCAGGCAGAGGGATGAGCGAGAACCCAGGCACGGGGCAGTGCAAGTTACGTTCAGGGGGAAGGAACCTCCAGGGCTGGGGGTTGGGGTTGAGGCTGCAGGAGGTGGCCATGAGACCCCTGCTGCGTAGTGTCCAGGGCAAAGACCCTGTAGCAGCAGGACCTGCCGGAAGCACGAGGCGGCGAGGCTGCCCTGGGGAGCGGCTTCAGGGCTGGAAATGGGAAGTGTGCAGTGGCCCTGGAGAGCCGCCACCTTTTCTCTCTGCTGACCCCCCTCCCACCCCTCCCCAGGCCATGCCAGAGCACCCCATCAACCTTCCCCTCTAGACCAGATCACCCACCCCATCAGCGCACACGTGCTGCCGCTTCACCTCTTGCACCCCACTGCGCCCACAACTCCTGCTCCGATGCTGCACACTCCACATCCAAACTCCTTCAGAGAGCTGGTCAGGCTCGCAGACTCCACCCTCCTCCGCCCACTCCCACCTCCACCAGCTGCAGCCCAGGTGAGACAAGCCCACCGTGACCTCAAAGCTGCAGCGCCCTGCCCCCTCCCAGGTGCGGAAGACCCGGGGTTCCCTCCTGGCCTGGCCTACACTTGCTTCCTTGGCCACATCTCGGGGCTTCTGGATTCAGACACCATCCATGTGCTGAGGACTCACCAATCATCATCTTCAGCCCAGACTTCTCTCCCTAGCTCTAGCATTCTAGCAAATGCCCACGCGGAATCCCCGCTGGGGTGTCTAACAAGTACCTCAAAACCAATATGTCCAAACCAAGCTCCCGACCTCCCCTTGTTCCTCTCCATCACCTCTCCCCATCCCAGCTGGTGACAACCCCATCTGCCAGCTGCTTGGGACAGAAACTTGGAGTCCCCTCTGCCTCCTCTCCTCTCCTTCACACCTATCTAGCAAATTCTGTCCGCTCCACCCTCACGACATCTATTGAGCCTGATGTCTCATCTCTTCTGCTATCACCACAGGCTGAGTCACCTCCCACTTTGGATCACTGTCATGCCCTCCTCTGTCTCCCAGGTGCTGCCTGTGCCCGCCTATGGCCTGTCCTCGCCCTCTGATGCTCTTGTCTCTCTAGGCAGGTCTCTCAGGGTCTTTGGCTCAACAAGTTGCCTAGTGAGTACCCAGCCCGTGGTGGGTATGTAACCTCATTGTTAGATGGTGACCAAGTGAGAGAGCTGGCTGAAGCGAAGGACAGCAAGGTCAAGGACCAAGCAACCGTGGCAGGTGGGAGGAGAGGACCCGTCCGAGGTGTCCAGCTTGGGATGGAGGGGCCCGAGGTGCTGATGTCAAGGCGCCGCTTCACGGAAAAGCCAGAGCTCAGCTGGAGCAGAGATGGGCTCTCTGGCAGCTGCACCAGCAGGGACGGAGAATAATCTGCTGGCTGCGAGGGGAGGGTAGAGGAGCCCTGGGGCTGTGGCTGCTCACCCGTAGAAGGGCAGCTCATGGCACTTGAGTAGGTAGGCGCGGTAGTGGGTGCCCAGGGTGGCCTCCTGCCCACTGTCGCTGCTGACTGCTTCCTTCACCTGGCGGTAGGCATCCAGCAGGCCCTGCTCACCCGTCCCAGCCTTGGTCCCACGGCCCCGGAGGGCAGCAAAGAAGCTGTGGCCCCGCTTACAGAGGTGGGCAGGGAGGAAGGAGTCCAGCTTCTCCCTGTGGAAGAAGGAAGATAGGTGCTGATGGCTGACCAGAGGTGTGGGGGTCCTCAGGGTGTGGGTGCCATGCTCATGGGGAGCACAGGAGGCAGGTGGCCTAGCTCAGTGACACGCAGGGCAGAAGAGCACACCAGTGCCCTACGTTGCACAATGGGGGTGCTGGAGGCCCCTGCCCTGGACACCCACACCAGAGAGATCCCTACAGTCTCCATCCCAGCAGCAGCCTGGCCAACCTGGCTCACAGGACAACCCCGCTTAGTGTTTAGGGACTATTGAGTGGGGGTGGGGAATTCTCCCCCTGAAGAAAAGAGGGTGGTGGAGGGGGGCAGGGCTGCCTGGAGGAAGGACACACACCAGCTACTTCCTTTTTGTCTTTTTTTTTACTGACCGGTAATGGGATCACAACCCTCGGTGTCGTGCCTGTACCAGGGACCGGCAACGGGATCGCAACCCTCGGTGTCGCACCCGCACCGCGCTCAGCCAGTGAGCGGGAACCGGTCTCCACATGGGATCCGAACCCTTGGCGGGAGCACCGCCGTGCTCCCAAGCGGCGCACTCTCCAGTGCGCCACCGGGCCGGCCCATACACCAGCTACTTCCAAGCCAGAGACTGGGTAAGGGGCCCAGGAGGGGAGACCTAGGCACCAAACAGAGGTGGGCTCAGCTCACGGCTCCTCTCCACAGGGCAGGCTCTGGAGCCAGACGTTTGGCTCTGCCACAACCAGCTGTACGGCCAGCAAGAGGCGCCTGCCTTCCTTTCTCAATGTTCCCCACCTGCCCTGGGTGACAGTGACCTTGACCCTAAAACCAGTGCAAGCCCAGGATGGAGTGGGAAACCAATGAGGATGACCCAGGGCTGTCCCTCTGCTTCCCAAGCCAGGGTCACCATCCAAATCCACCACTCTTATCCTGCTCTGTCCTGCTGCTCCCAACCCTGGCATGGCCAGCCCAGGAAACCTGGCCCCGCCCTTGAATCCTGGCCCCGCCCTCCTGCCTTCCCTGCCAGTCCTGCCTCAGCATCGCCATCTGCACCAAGGGGCCCCCACATGGGCCTGGCCCTGTTTCCCAGCCTCTCCCACCCCCTACCCGGTCAGCTGCCACTTGACTGCCCAGATAACTCCAGGAGCACCTATGAGGTGGCAGGCCTGGGGGGTCACCAGGCCCAGTCTTCACCCCCAGGAGGGAAGGAATCACATCACTCTGAGCACCCACGGTGTGCCGGGCACTGTGGAGGAGGGCCACCGACCCCATTTTGTGTGGGGCAGCTGACACCCAGGGTGGCCGGGCACAGAAGGAAGGCCCAGAGGTGGGTGCAGGTCTGCAGCTCCATTGCACAGGTAAGAGGCCCAAGGAAAGGTTGGGAAGCCAAGAGAAAAGTCAACACCAGGCCCCCTGCCTGGAGGCCGACTGTGGCATCAGGGTTTCAGAGCAACATCTGTGCCACTAAGTTGAGACAGTTGGGATTTCTGAACCAGTGGAACTTTCACAACCAAAAACTGGTGCAAGTGGCCTAACACTGTCATTGCTTTGTTCTGCCAGACACGGATGTGAAAACACCAGCCTACAATCAGCACAGAAAAACAGGACATCCTCACGCACGATACAAAGAAGGAAAGACTCTCAGCAGAACCATAACTGGCGTTCCCAGCTCAGGCAGCCCGGTGATCACGTGGGCTGTGCACTGGCCATTCTGACCAGCTGCAGCTGCATTTCTCAGTCTTTGAGTCCTCTGAGCCTCAGTCTCCCCTTGCATAAAACAAGGACACCAGGGCCGGCCCATGGCTCACTGGCTGAGCGTGGTGCTGACAACACCAAGCCAAGGGTTAAGATCCCCTTACCGGTCATCTTTATCAGCACCACCACACTCTCCCGTTTTTTTTTTTTTTTTTTTTTTAAAAGATGACCG